TTATTTAATTAAATAATGCACCAAATATCATAGACTAATAACATGCAAAAAGTAGACAATTTTTCTGGCTCTCCAACTATTCAACAAGAGCCATTACAAATTCATCCTAGCTAGTCTTAATCTTTTTCTGTGGGAACGAAGCTTGTACTAACAGTGAAATTGACAATTCTTTGTTCAGGAAACAACATTATACAATATGTCATTTGATATATGAAAACCCTGGCTTTCTGTTGGTTAAATATAATATAGAATTAAACGTAAGAGAGAATTATTAAACAATCTTGAAAGAGGATTTGACAGGTGGGGGGTGGCAAGAGGGATCTGATTTTCTATTTGATAGCTCTGCAACCAAACATAATTGAAGGCTATATAAATTATGGTTTGTTTGAGCAATGACGATTTTATAGAGTAATTTAAATATTAACCCTATCCTGATGGGCATCCTTTACTGTGCATGTCACAAAGTTTTAGTGACTTACATTCAAAATTTTATTATTCTACTTTTTGTTTATGTTATACCAATTAGTAAAGAATAAAATCTTAGCTAATAATTCATATTTTAATAGTATACAAGTTTTAAGTTCTCAATTTTTTTAAGGCAATATTTAATAAAAATCCTGAATTTCCCTTAGTGTGACACATTTTCTCTAGGTATTTTATCTTCTCTATTTTATCCACCACTCCTCCAATAAGTATGAAATTAAATGGGAGGTTGTGTTTATAAGGTATTAGGTTCTATTTTTTTTTAGGGGGGGGGGTGCTATATTGCCTTTGTATCTTTCTATTCCACCCAGCCGATAACCATCAAAGTATCCATGAGAATAATTATACTACAATTTTTGAAACTTTTGCAGACTATTAGTAAACATTATAATGCTTTTGTACACATAATATCATGTTTTTATATTTTGTATTAAGATTTTTTAATAAAGATTTCCTCATGAATTTTTTTCTTTCAGAATGTTGACTATCCAACGTGCATAGTAATTTTGATTTTAAAATTAAAAATACTTTTCTTTATCAGAAAATTGTCAAGTTTCAGTTCTTAGTCTGTATATCCTCCTAGATAATCATCAAACATTTTTTTGGATAAAACTTTATATTTTCTCCACCTAAACTCTATATGGTGTTGGTCGGTTTGATCGACCTTGTAACCGTCACAAAAATTAGGAAATAGATCTAAATTACCATTTTTTGTTCTAGAATAACTGCAACTTGTAACAGGAAACCACAAATTTTTATTCTAAATAGCTTAAATCTCATAACAGTGTACATCTATTTATATTTATTAATTTTGTGTTTTATTGACCTTTGAATCATGTCTGAAAATGAAAATCATGTGGCACTTGTGCAGCTCACATTACCATATTGAAGAGCGTAATGCACAAGCTGCTGGCGGGTATACCCATGAAGATTTTTATTATTATTCTTTCATTATCTTAACTAATAAGTTTCTATTTTTTACATTTTAGTTACTTTTATAAAAATAAATAGTGAAAACAAATGAAAAATAAAAAAGCTTGTAATTAGATATCAAACATTTTTTTTCAGTAAAGCTTTATAGTTTATCTATTATTTTCTTTACTGTAACATTATACTTGATTCTCCAGGTTATATACCAGTAATCAAAGAATAATGAAAATAAAGGTTGCAAAGTGGTAAATAAACTCTTTTGTATTGTTAGTATTGATCACAAAATTTCAAAGTTTTAGAGTTTATACTTCTCATCTTTTCACACTTATTTTCTGCAGTTATTTTATTGTTTGGAGATGTTTTAGAAACTATAAGAAAGAAAATGAACAGTACTGTCTGTCCGTTTAAGTATGGACAATGAAGTTCCAAAGTAAATCTCGTAGGAGTTTCTTCTAATCTTTTTACACTTATTTCCTGTGTTTATTCTACTGTTAGTGGCTGAAGTAGAAACATGCCGAATATAAAGTAATGAATCACCATTTCTGTTTAGGTGTTACCGTACTTTAACACTGTCAGTATGAAATAAGTTTTTTTAGCAGAATTCCCAGAACTTTCCCTGTTTTGAAAACACAGTGGGGGAGGATTTATCAACTTGTGGACAGTATAATGGTTGCAATGAGAAGTGTCTAATATATTATAAAATGTTTATGCTATGGCTTTATAGAAAGTCCAGGTCGATCCAATGAACTTGGTAGGTATTTGAATGTTAGTTATCCTTTCGACGTGGTTGATAAGTGGACATTTCCTACAGAATCTATTCAAATCCCGGCTCTGAGAACATAGTGGGGTAGGATTTTTTCGGCTTGCTTACAGTACAGTGGTTGCAACAAGAATTGTCTGAAGTACCATATAAAAGTGAGAGAAAATATTTATGATATGGCTCTTTACAAAGTTGTATCTGATCCAATACATTTGTTGGATATATGGATGCTAGTTATCCTCCTGGGAGGTTGGGATTTAGTGGTGGTATAGGTATAAAAGTGTGTAAGTGCTTATGAACATTGTTTCCTATTTTATCATTGCTTACACAGTAACCAATAAATGCATAGTTTCCAGTATTTTGTAAAATACAGTGACATTTCGATTACCATACATTACATATGTATATATATGTATTATTACTATTTACAAATAAATACATCAATTTGAGTTATTTTTCTTAAAAACATAGAAGAGTAAGTAGAAAATATTCAGAAAACAATGATCTCCACTACTTACGATGTTAAGAAGTTCTTTTCTCCACTTGTGAGTCATATATATACTAACCCTCATTATAAGCCTCATCCAAATTCACATGTGGAGGTAGAAAAAAATTATTTTTGTATATTTTATATATGAGTTTTGGAATACCAAAAAATTGAAAATGGCTATACTGATACCACAAAAATCCATTGCAATTTACCAGGCTTCCTAACTATGCTGTATTTGGGCCTAAAAAAATCTAACTTCTGTTCGGAAAATAACATTGATCATAATACTTCAAACTCTCCAATGATATAAGAGCTTTTCTCTCATAAATAACTTAGGAAGACTAACAGAATTACGTAGAAGAAATGTAGGACCTTTGATTGGTTATAAACTTGTAGGTATGAAAAAGTAGGCATAGATAAACAAGTCTTCTCAAATGATGAAGTGGTGGGCAGAACCAATATGGTAGATATTGTGATATCTCAACAAATAGAAAAGGTAGGAAGTTCTTATTTTATATTCTAACATCTCAGTATCAGTAATTTGTAAGAAACTATAGACATTGTATTGTGGGCATCATACAATGTAATCTGACCAAACCCACAAGATGACGTACCATGTGACACACAAAAAATTTATATTTTTTATATTTACTTTTAAATTAAGAAATTAACTAATGTATAATCATAAAATTTGAATTATAGTCTACAATTTGATGCCAAATGTATTGAGATACATTCATAAAATAGTAGTTCAATAAAAGTTTGAATGTAAATCTGCAAACGTGATGACATGCCCTCTGACCCCTACCCATAGCTAAAACCATCTTGATAGGGTTAAGGAAGGCACACCAGAAGTAACCAAACAAAATTAAAATTGTTACACTAGGAATATCCAAACAAAATTAATCAATAGTGGCATATCAAAAGTCAAAAGTAATCAAACAAAATTAAGAGAAGCACACAAGAAGCAACCAAACAAAATCAAGGTTGACACACCAGAAATAAACAAAGTCAAGGTTGGCAAACCAAAAGAAATCAAGTTTAACATATGAAAAGTAAACAAAATCTTGTATTTTGGTTTGTATTTTGAGTTCTATATATATATATATATATATATATATATTGAGTTGTTACTTTCATTAATACTTTCCTTTTTATTTTTAGTATATTTTAATTTTTTGTGAGTTTTAATTCTTGTAGTACTGAAAGATTCTTGCTCTGTAAAATTAATGCTGGTGGTATTGAAATATGAGGTATGTATTGGATTCTTTTTAATGTTTGTTTATTTAGTCTCACTTTTTTATGTTTATACTTATACTGTGATACATACGACTACCTCAAGTCAGATGTTGCAGGTTTTTAAAGTTATATGTATGCGTTTTAATCTATTTTCAGATGAAAATGAAGCCACAACTTCTTTTGTCACACAGTTAAGCCACTGGGATAGAGAAGAGCTAGAAGAAAAACTGGCTCAGCGGGTACAAGTATCCACAAGAGCAGTGGCTAAGGTTGTGCAAGCATTTGACAGAATTGTTCAAAGAAATCATAAAGTGATGTTGGCCTTGAAAGGTGAATCATCAGAAGGAGGTTAGTAGTTTGACCACATGTGCACTATTGGGTCAAAGTGCTCATGCCCCAGCCTTTTTAGAGTTGCCTTCAAAACTTAATTAAGCAACTTTCTAATCAATGTATGTCAAAAAACTTGTCATCAGAATATTGTTTATAATCTAAAATTTAATATTATTCAAGTTTTAATGTCTTAAATTGAAAAGGAACTATTAAAATCTTCTCTGTGTTAAATGTCTATACTCCAAATTGTCCATATGAGTTTTTTTTTATCCTCATGGTTTTTTGAGTGCTCAAATAATTAGAAATAAATGTTATAGATATTGACAAGCCAATAAATAAACTTAGAACCTCCAATCTTTCTGCTCTACTGAAATATGGAAAAACAATGGTAGAGTCCACATGACACTCCTGTCCCATGACATTCTATCTGACATTGCTATTGGATTATTTATAACTAATAGCAAGAGCAGCTCTTTTTTTTGACATGATTCCTTATAACTTAGTTAGAAAACTAATTAAATTATGGTAGTTTTGGGACACTGTTCTAGTGCATGATATATTTTTGATGTTCTAAGATGCAAATTTGAAAGGAAAATTAATGATTTTATGGAGAACCAATATAGTATGAAAAAAACGAATGCTAAAGAAATATGCTGTTGAGTACAAATTACTGAAATAGGTTTCAACTCTAATTCAAATTCAAAATTTCTTTTTTATTATGTATATTTTTATGTATTATTATACATTTATTAACAAAAATTATAAACTTACTAGTTTAGATAAAAGTAAATGACAAAAAAATGTAAAAAAATTTCATGATGCTAGCTCAAGCTAACTATGTCTTGTCATTGTAACTTTACCAGTTGTTTACACTTAAATTTTCCGATATGAAATTGTCTGTCATGTACTTAACTAGAATCTAATGGACATTGTAAAGTGATATGATTAAAAGCAAGCACATGTGAAAAGGTTAGATAGCTGAGACTGTTATGATAAATAATTGTAATTCTTACAATATGCAGTCATTATGAAAAAAGAAAAGTTATTATTAGTTTTATTTTTCATTTTTTCCACTGTGCATTGATGATTTTGTTAAAGTTAGTATTAGGAAAGAAAAAATAAGAGATAAAATATAAAATTTTAACAAAAACACACAAAACAAACTTTTTTTATTCATTTAGGAAGTTCTGAGGTTAGGCAAATGAATACTAAAGTAAAAAGAAGTGTTTTTATTCTTATTACGAAAACCACCTTTCACTCATACTGACTCATTAAAGACTTAATAATGAAAAAGGCTTTAGCAGAAATACATTATTAAAAGATCTTTTTTTTATACAGCAGGCTTATAATGTGTACTAAATGTTTGCCAAATTTCTTGAAGATACATTTAGTAAATTCAGAATTATAGTAAACATTACTAGGTATAGCTTTGCAGAAATGCGATCAATTCAATAAACCAATGCTGTGACAGAGTGTTAAAGAGAAAGAATAAAATTTTTGTCTAAGTTGATTTATTTCAGTATTGATTGTTTTAAAGTTGTTTAATAAAAAATAAACATTTGAGGTAACATAGGTGCTTTATTGTCAGTCAGTTTAAAACGTTTCATTAGTCAGTGATTGAATATGTTAATTTATCTTTTTCTATGTTTTGAATTGTGCTTTTCATCCAGTCAAAAGTTTGTATTGTAACACATTCATGTGCATTCTAAAACTTTTTGGTTTTTCATAAACTTTTCAAAGGCTGTGTGACTAAGTTCAACTTGGTTATAAACAGGATATTTTCTTGAGATGACTGTACTTGGTTATTCATGCTAGTATTGTTTAATACATATCTGCAGTTTGTTACTCTTCCGAACTTGTTAATTAATTGACATTTTCAAAAATTTTGACCGAAAACAGAAGAAAATCCTCCAAGTTTAGATGCAGCAGTTCGAGCAGCAAACATTGAAGTCCAGACTGAAAATGAGAATATGCACTCCTTAGTTACATCATTACATGAAAAGCATCATCTGACAACATTAAAAGTAAGATTTGGTTTTTTCATGACATACTGAACTTGATAGGTGTAGTTTTTGTAAGAGCCTTCTAACCATTACAGTGAATATTTTTGTCTTTTTTATTTTTTTATTGTTTCATGGTTGATTGATATTTTTCTTTATCTATTAATTGTAGGGCCTTGGTTGGCCCTGTGGTAGAGCTCTGGATTTCGAAGTTGATGAGCTGAGTTTAATCATGTGATACCACAAAATATTCCCTGCACTTTAAGCTGGGGATGCATTATAATAGGAAAGACAGCCAATTCCTTAGCATAGATGGTAGGGTATTGCTGACTGGCTGTCTTCTCACCTTGTCAGTAGTTCAAAATTTAGGCCAGCAGCAGATAGCCTTAATAGTTTTGCCATAAATACAAAATACAAATACTGTTAACTCTCAAAATGTAAAATCAAATATTTTCTTTTTAAAATGAAGTAAATTTTGCAACTCATGTCGTGCTGCAAATCTTTAATATGATCATCAACTTTACTATTTTTTTATTCTAAGCGATGTGAAAATTCTTTGGCACAAACATTTGAAAAATAAAATTTAATTTGTATAAGGAGCTTTGCCAAAAAAATAAAATCTGCTTTCCTTGTGTGTTGGACTTTGTTACAATAATTAAAAAAACAAATTTATTTTTCTAAATACTTTATTATTATTAGAATTAAATTTCATAGAAGTAAAGGACAAAAGATTTGGTTTTCTTGTTAAATGAACTTCACAAAATATAAATATCTTGGATATTTTTCAGTTTTCTGAGCTTCAGGATAAAGTTGCAGCTGTAGACACAACCAACGCAGAACTCAAGAACCGCATTGAAGATTTAGAATATGAACTTAGCAAGACAAAACTGAGAGAAGAGAAGTTGGATGCTCATCTTTCAGACACTGTACAGAAACTAAAGAGCTACAACTTGCAGGACAGTGAAGGAAAACCTATCATGAATGCTGTAACACAAGTTAAAGTAGGTTTAATAAAACATTCTTTTATTTTTTCAGTATTTAGCACTTGCCAATTTTACATAATGTTATTTTTTTTAGTTTTTACTGATATTTTACATAAAAATTATTAACTCTTACATTTATAAATAATTTCTACTGATTATAGAAAATGCTATTTTTATTAAAGTTATCTATGAAACATTGATAATTTATTCAATTTTTTCTTTTTCTAAAAAGCTCTGTTTTCCTAATTTACTCAATATTGTTTCACTGACCAATGTAAGTATAGGGTTATAGAACCTTTTTTTCAAATAAACAGAAAATTCTAATGATAAAGAGAGTTAAAAATAGCATAAAGTAAGCTTTTAGTTAATCAGTTACACTTTCCATTTTTTGTAAATGTTCTACACCTTTTCTTACAATAGAAAAATATAATTGATACTTTGGAAAGAAATCTTTATTTGACTTGGTTTTTATTCTAATGATGTAGGACTTTTTTAATAATGGACATCCAGTTTACTACAGCACTTCTTCAGAATCTGGTTTTGAAACTACCTGGCACATTTATTTAGTGTTAGATTTTGTCAAAGTACAGGGGAAAAAAACAAAGTTAAAATATCCTTGTTACCCCTCCCCCTTTCTCCTAGTATCAAAAGGGGGAAACATTTGAACTTAAAAAAAAATCATCAGGAAGTTAGAAGCGAGTTTAACAGATGGCAGCAGAAGGTAGGGTTAAAAACTCAATGACTAACTAGTATTTTTAGTAAAAAGACAGTGTTAGCATATTTTTTAGTATTTTTTTGATGATTGTTCATAGCTTTAAGTAGCCAGAATAACAGGGCAGGTTAACCTTTGGTGGATTTCTTATTGTCTTTGTTCCAGGTTGAAGAACTACAGAGAGAACTTGAGGAACAAAAAGAGCTAGCTAACAATCGGCTGATGGAGTTGGAGAGTTTAAATGCTCAACACAAGGATGCCTTGAAGCTGGTTGAAAAACTAAAAATGGATGTGAGAATTTATTGTGTGCACAGAATGTTTTAAAAGATAAATAGACCAAAGCTATTGCATGAAGGTTGTTGTGTGTTTATTTCAAAGTTAGGTGATTAAAGATCAAGCCATAGTGTCAATTCTCTTCAGTGTTAATAATACATATTACAAGTGATTGATGAGACAGCGTTGTTTTTAAACAATGTGACATCACGTGCATAAGATAAATGATTGATATAATGGTGTTTAAAAAGTATGGCATTGAGTGTGGATAATATAAATGGTTTAATTTTGTGTTTAAACTTATGATAAATAAAAATTTCAAATCTAATAAACCATCTCTGGACTGCAATATGACTTGAAATAGTGCACAAGTAATAGAAGCAGTATACTAGTAATGTTTTCTCTCTCAAACTATAGATCCAATGTCTGCCAGAAAGTGTTGTTGTGGAAACATCAGAGTACAAATGTCTGCAGTCTCAGTTCTCAGTTTTATACAATGAGAGCATGCAGTTAAAAACACAGCTAGAGGAAACTCGGAACCAACTTTCAAGTAGCAAGAATTCTCATTTGAGGCAAATTGAACAGATGGAGGTAAAGTACTTATTTTTGACAAGTTTGTAATTAAGGTTAAAAGGTTGTCTTTTTTTGTTTTGTTTTTTGGCTAAGATTAAATAAAAACATACAGAACTTAGTATGTTTTTAATTTTATAGTTATTGCTAAGTTATCTTGATAAGTGACCATTACGACTGGAAAAATTATTAAAAGCCAAGGTACTCAACTACTGATTCCCTTATTTTAATCTTTATAGATTTTTGTTTCATGTCTGCATGTTATACAAAATTGACTTCAATTAATTTGTTACTTTTGATCAGAAGTAGAAAGAATTAATAGGAATTACTGCTAGTAAGAATGTAAATAGTAAAGTATTACATTGTTTAGAATGTGACAATAACTGCAGTTTTATGGGACTAGTATCTGAATGTGATCAGTCATTCCCAGCCAGTATGAAATGCTACTTTTTTCATTTTGTGTTATTTTAGAAATTATGTTTTGAATTTGAGAATTGTTACCATTTTTCTACGATTGTTTTATAATTTAACTGTAAACAAAATACTTACAGATAATACTGATTTTCACATAACTAGCGTTACTTGGGGGTTCGAATACCACATTAAACTATATTTGCTTTGTTAATGTACTCATGCAAAATTTCAGACAACTATTACTTTCTAACAGCCCAAACTTTGTTTTGCAAAATTAATAATCATTTAGAGAGTGCAATACTTTATAAATAATAAAACTAACAGTGTAGCTATAAACATCAAATAAATAAATATATATATATATATATATATACACAGTACTGTGCAAAAGTGTTAGGACAAGAGAATATTTTGTCATTCTCTCCATTTTATGGGGCTAATTCTTCCATGCCATTACAGAATGTAAATTTCAACACTATGGTAATGCTTCACTGATTCCTGTTGAAAAGTGAATAAGCCAGAGTGAGAATACTTATCATTATTTAGAATTACCATATACTTGTTCCAAGGGCATGTCATATGGGTTCTGCTTGAATTTCTGATCAAATTTAGGGTCTGAAGTAACTGTCATGGTACCCCATGCAGTGTCTTAACTATATAGAAAGGAGCTAGCATGGAACTAGCTTATGGTACTGGTATATGCTAGAAGAAATCAATTTAATAGCACTCCACAAGTAAACCTTGATAAAAACAGTGTTTAACACTATATATTATGTTTTGTTGTCATGCCATGGACCAAAAAGTTTAGAGAATTGTCATTAGAGTAGAGAATTTGCATAAAAGCTTTTCGTGATGCTGGTTGGACTCTCTGACAAATTACTGCAGACTTGAAATGCTCCCCAAACACTGTGAGATTGTGAGACCGAGACAGAACACCTAAATTCAATGATACTGATGTTTATGCAGCCTTTGTGACAAAAGGAAGACTGCCACTGATCTCAAGCATGAGATAAACAACCATGTACAAAATGATAGAAAAGTGTCCAGATCCACAGTATCAAGAAGACTCAACAAGAATGGAATATTTGGTCGTGTAACACTTAAAAAACCTTTACTTCAATCTCCAAATATTGTCAAGAGACTGAAATTTGCTAAAAAGTACAAAAACTAGACTGTTGATGACTGGAAAAGGATGTTATGGATGGATGAGTCCAAGTTTGAAATATTTGGTTCAAAGCGTAGGTTGTACGTCTGGCAGAAGAAAAGTGAAAGATACTTACCTTGATGCATAGCACTTACCATGAAGCATGGGGAGGCAATGTGATGGTTTGGGGGTGTTTTTCTGCTGAGGCAACAGGAGATACAAGTACCATCAGATACTGATCCATTAAGGTTTGTGTATTATTGTTAAAGGATTCTACTGCCAAGAGTATAATGACCCCAAACGCTCATCCAACCTATGCAGAAATTACTTAGCTAAGAAAGAAGCTGCTGGAGTCAATCAAAGAGTCCACAGAGCCCCTATCTCAATCCATTTGAGCAGATCTGGGATTTGGTAGATCAAAAACTTGACAAATAAAAAGTTACTTCCAAAAAAACTTTATTGGAGTGTATTAGAAACATGTGGAGTAAAATCCCAAAGTACACTTTGATTAAATATGTTGCAATAATGCCTAAAAGACTGTCTGCAGTTATTAAAGCAAAAGAGGGGGGGATACAGAAAATATTAACTGTTTGTTGAACTCAAGCACTTCCACTGAGTTTTTGTTGTTCTGTTGTACTAAATATGAAGATTAATAAAATTTTGATGTTTCACCCGTGATTTACCTTCTATTGTTCTTTGAACGTAGCCTCAAGTATAAGTTTTGACTTTGTCCTAACACTTTTGCACAGTACTATATGTGTGTTCAGTTAGTAGGCTTTAGTAATGAACAAATAGCTCATTTTTTTAATCTTCAATTCCAGAGTGAAGAATTGTCCATGCAGAAAAAATTAAGAACAGAAGTAATACAACTGGAAGATGCATTAGCACAGGTTAGGAAAGAATACGAAATGTTGCGGATTGAATTTGAACAGAATTTGGCAGCTAGTGAACAAACAGGTATACATAACAGATTAGTTTTTACACTAGTCAGAGGCAGGTCAAAATGTGTATATAACGACTTTGTAGAAAGTTACATTCAAAATTTAATTAAACTACTTTATTATCCTTGTATACAAATAAACTTGGTATCAAAACATGGTTAATAAATCAAATCTTAATATTATATAAGTTGTAAGTTCTTAATTGTATAAGGAAATATTTTTAAAAATTATCGATCTCACCTAGTATGAGAATTGTGACATTTGCTCTCTAGGTCTTCCTTTTTCTGTAATTTATTTATCCCCCTCAGGCAAAATGTAATTTTTATAGCCTTCAATCTTATTTGTTTATAGAGCCATAAACTAGAAAATCAAACCTGCTTGCCATGCCCACCTGTAACATCCTCTCTTTCACAAATTGCTAATATTTCTCTCTGACATTTGATATTATATTACTTATAACCAAAAAAAATCCAAAGTTTTAATCTATCAAATGACAATATTATATTATGTTTTATTTTCTCTACAGCGAATTGTCTGTTTCCTGGTTCAGTTTCAAATTTATCCTCACAGAAATCACATTAACTACTTTGACTGAATTTTTAAAGCCTCTTATCTCATAGTTGGAAAGCCACAAAAATTTTAATAGTTGTAGGACATTGTTTACCTTTTGGGTGTTATTATTCTGTGTTCTTAAGTGCATTATATAATTTAATAACAAAAATGTTTAGTGTAGTAGTGCCATTACTAGAAAAAAGTAGACCAACGTTTTATCAACAGGTGATAGCAAAAAAAACCCCATATATGTACTGTATCAAGTTAGATTAGGTAAGATAAAGAAAAATAATAACTTTTCATGAGGTATGCTTACAAGTAGCTAGTGCATTATGTAATAAAAGTTAATAGAAACAGATGCATACTGTTACAAGTTTTAAGCTATTTAGAGTAAACTAGTGTAGTTTCTTGTAACAATTTGTAGCCATTCTAGAAAGAAAATAAAGAATAATTTCAATTTATTACTTCCTTTTTTTATGGTGGTTACGAGGCTGGTAAAATTGACCAAATGAGTATAGAGTTAGGGTAGAGAAAATAACAGATAAAATATAAAGTTTTACTTTAATAAAGCCATTTGATATTTATTTAGGGGATTTTAGAGATTATGACAATTTTCAGATGAAGAAAAGTATTTCTAATCTTTACATGAAATTCACATTGCACTTGGAGTAGTCAACACATTTACTCCATATATTCATGGAGAAGCTTTTTAGTAAAAATACTTCATTAAATATTCTGATTATTTTGTTTACAAAAGACTTGTAATGTTTACCAAAAGCTTGTAAAATTTTGTGAAAATACACAAAACTTATTAAAAATTATAGTAAGGAAACTCTGAAGGTCAGTTTGGGGTCATGAACTTGGCCAAATCGACTAACCCCATAGCTAGAGAGTTTAAACTTGGTGAATTTATCTGTTGTTATGTAATATGTAAGAGTTCTATGAATTTAATGTTCTGTGAAGTATACTTTTCATTAGTAGTAGTATGTGCTCTGGTTTGATTTCAGAATTCTTATTGCAAAAAAAACAAAAATTTTCAGTATTGGTGAGCTTTATGTCTGTTGCATTACAAGATTTTCAATGCTTTGAGTATTATTATGTTGTAGTCTTATTCCAGTAAAAGATCATCAGTGTTTTAAGCATGGTTGGTGTGCATTCTTGCATATATTATTTCAGTCTGTTGGTTTCTCTTCCTGTTGCAAAGAATACTTCAGTGTTACTAGGCTTTGTTACAGTAGAAGATTCTCAACCCAGTTTTATTGGTTCGTAGAGCTGCTGCAGTAGAAGATTGTCAATATTTTCAACATTGGCGGCTTGTGTAGCAGTTGCAGTAAAAAATTGTCAATGTTTTCATAATTATTGGTTTGTAGAATCGTTGCAATAGAAGATTGCCAGTGTTTCCAGCATTGTTGGTTTCTAGAGCTGTTTAAATAGAAAATTCTTAATTTTTTTGGCAATTTTGGGTAGTAATCTTATAGCCAGTGAATATTGCTTGGTGTTATTGGTATTGCATTAGGAAACTGTGAATGTTTTTTTTAGTAGTATTTTCAGCACTGTTGGGATATTCTCCTGTTGTATTAGAAGATTATCAATGTACTTATGATTGTTGGGCTGTACAAGATCTTCAATGTCTTTGTGACTTTTAGGCTTTCTACTTCTGTTGCATTAGATCATCAGTATCTTCATGATTGTTGGGCTGTACTTCTGTTGCATTAGATCATCAGTGTCTTCATGATTGTTGGGCTCTACTTCTGTTGCATTAGAACATCAATATCTTCATGATTGTTGGGCTGTACTCCTGTTGCATTAGATCCTCAGTGTCTTCATATTTGTTGGGCTCTATTCCTATTGCATTAGATCATCAGTGTCTTCATAATTGTTGGGCTTTAGTCACCTTGGAAAATAATATTTAATTTTTGCAGCGTTGTTATTCTTTATTCCTGTTGCAGTAGAAGATTGTCAGTTTTTGCATCTTTACTAGTTTGTAGTTGTAGTACAGTCAAAGATTGTAATTCTTTCAGTATATGAAAACCATAAGGAATGTTAATGTGGATGTTTTCTACAAAGTTTTTAAATGATAGATGAAATTGTGATGAGCATCTGCTTTTTGATGTTAAAATATAAGACTTCAGTAAAAATGCTAGTAGATTCATTTTATTCCATCTGAAAATATCCCTTCATAAAGTATTCATAAGGTATTCAGGTATTAAAAGATTTTCCTTGTCTGTCACCAGATAGATTAGTCATATCTAAAAAACCTAGTGTGTTTTTAGTAACCCAGAGTAGGAGTAAAATTTAGTTTTTTGTTTAAAAAGTTCATATTGTTCATTTTACATTTTTTAAAAAAGGACCAATCAATAGAGAAATGCGTCACCTGATTACTAGTCTCCAGAACCACAACCAACAGTTCAAAGGAGAGATCCAGAGATACAAACGGAAGCTTAAGGAGGCTAATAATGAAGTTATCAAGGTACCATTATGGAAGTTACGTGTATAAGCTTAAAAGTAACAGTGAAATAATTGACTTGTTGCCATGATAATTACTATGCATATAGTGTTTCAACAACTTTCACATGAGAACAACAATGAATTCTTCAAGCTACTGACATGTTCAATACCATGTTTATCCTCTTTTAACGACCTTCAAATGAAATTGTGAATCAGTTAAAGTATTCATAGGTTTAATTGAATGTGCACACGCTCAGCCCATTGGACCAACTTTTTATTGGAGAAGGAATGTTAACTATAGCCTTGAATTTAATGTGTAGTTACAAGGAATGTGGGAAGTTTTGAGTAAAATGTGCATGTCTGTTTGTTGTACACAAGAACTCAGATGTGTTACAAAAATATTTATATTCAAGATATATCTGTGAATTGACAATATCAGTCTGATTCATACTCTGACAAGTTGGGGTATAAGGTGATGTTCATGTGAAGGGGAAAAATACTTTTTTGCATTCTACAGATTACGTATTGCACTTACATAACCTCTAGAACCTCCAAAATGTATACTTATAATTTTTATCAGTATCCCTGTATGTTGTACCAAGTACTTACTCCTCTTATGAACTGTCACTAAATCAGCAGTGTAGAGTAAAGCGAATAGTTGATTACTTTGAATAGTGCTCTGTAAAAGGTCATGCCATCCACATTGTTAATCCAATCTGTTAATAACATATGTACAATTATTAAAACATTAAAGTATCAAGCTACTGACTCCCTCAGTACAATGTTTATAGGGCTGTAATTACTCCCTCATTAGAACAATAATGAAATAAAATATTTGTATGTTTAGTAACATACTTACAGGCCACAGACTTTCACACAAGATCTACTTTGTAAACAAAAATAAAAATTTTATTATGGGTTTTTGTAATCCAGAAACGAACTTGGAAGAAATATTTTCTTCATAAAAATAAGTGTCCAGTATGGTATTATTAAGATACAAAAAATATTATGAAGCTATTAAGGTTATCATAAATGAAGAGAGTATGTCACCTTAAAAAAAAAGTTACCATCTATGTTTATTGTAGCTTAGTGGCTTACTAATTTACTTACTTCTGTGTCAGAGTATGTAATTGACAAGAGGAAGAAAATATGATAATCTGGTATCATAAGAAAATGGCTTCTTTTAGTGGCATTAACTAAAACTTTTAATTTCATTGTTTTGTTTTTAATAACATTAGATTTATTATTGTTAAAGTGTGCTTTTCCTCAGTGCACATTGTCTTCACAGCTAAAACAAGCTCTAGATGCAGCAGGGACTTCCATCAACCCTTGCCTTCTTGCAAGTACTGGCTCCAACAGCTCCAGCTCCTCTTCCAGTGACAGTGGTTCCAGTAAGGATGATTTTTCGGCCCCTCCTCAGCAAGCTTCTAGTGGCATCTGTGGCTCCAGTTCATCAGGAAAAGATGATTGCCACTCAAAGAGGGACAAAGAAGATGACAAAGAAGTTTCATCACTCAGAGAGGAAGAGCCACCTTTGGAGAGAGAAAAGGGGAAAAGTGATTTAGACATAATTAGGGATTTAAAAATTCAGTTAAAGTAAGTTATAGTCAATATGTTATCCAGTGCAGAATTAGTAAGTTCCTCATTCATAATCTCTCAGTTTTTAACTTGTTGTATTAGAAAACAAAGATAATTGTTCAGCATGCTCGTGTGCATGCCTAGTGAACCATTTTAATTATATTATTATTACTTATTTTACATAATCTAATCTTAAATAACTTTAAAAGATCCATATTTTTAGATTTTAGTTACTTTTATAATAATAGATAAAGAATAAATATTAAAAACAAGAAATATAATACTTACCCAATCTTCTTTTTTGTTGCTGTCGAGTTTTTTGAAGAGAGTTAAACCTAATTTTTTTATACTAATGGTAGTAACACACCAAATAATTTTTATTTAATTAAATAATTCATGAAAGAACATATAATAATAACATGCAAAAAGTAGACAATATCCCCTAACTCTCAAATTTTTTCTGGCTTTCTAACTATGCAACAAGAGTCGTTACAAATTCATCCAAGCTAGTCGTTAACTTTCCCCCAGGAACGATGTTAGTACTCTGAATGAAATTGACATTTAACCGTATTGTACATAAACATTATACAATATGTCATTTGATAGATGAAAACCTTGACTTTCTATTGGATAGAAGTAATATATAATGATATGTAAGAGAGAACTATCAACAAATTCTGAAAGAGAGGATGTGACAGGTGAGTGTGGCAGGAGGGGTCTGATTTTCTATTCGATAGCTCTGTAACCAAACAAAATTGAAGGCTATAAAAATTATGGTTTGTCTGAGCAATAACGGTTTATGGAGAGTAACTTACATTTAATTTCGTACTTTTTTGAAGGATGGTGGATAAAATAGGGATGATGACATGCTAAGAGAAAATGTGTCACATGGGTCACACTAGTGGAAATTCAGGATTTCTTTTTAATATTGCCTTGTACAATTAAGAACTTAAAACTTGTATACTATTAAAATATGGATTATTAGCTAAGACTTTATGCTATTCAAATTGGTATAACATAAACAAAAAGTAGTTCAATAACATTTTGAGTGCAAGACACTAAAACCTTGTGTTATGCTCAGGAAAGGATACTCGTAGTGATAGGGTTAATAAAAGTGGCATCAAAACATTGTCTATAATTCAGTTTCAATATTATATATGTTTTAATTTTAAAAAACAACTAAATATTCCTTTTTATGCATCACATAGCATGCCTTTTTACCTTATTGCTCATTTTATATGTTATTATGCCTAGCATATGAAGTTTGTAGTGGTTTATGAATTAGAAATGCAAATTTCAGACATTAATAAGCTAGAATGTAAAATAAGAATATACCACCTTTTTGATTTGCTGAGATATCAATATATTTATCAAAATCTACCATAGTAGCCCCTTCCATTATTTTTTTGAAACCTCTTGACTACTCATGCCTATTTCTCTTATGTACATGTATATAACCAACAGAAAGAGCACATTCCAAACTGTGTAAATCTGATAGTCATTTGTAATTGGCATGAAGGGGAAAATTGTAGTTCCAAAACGGACTTACCTCCTCTCTCACAAAAGCTATCTTGATTGTTGTCTGCCCTGTAAGCATTGCAAAAATAATTTTTATTAATCAGTGCATCAGTCTTTATACCCCAACAGTTTCGTGCCATCTTTGAACATGTACATATTACGTGACTACTCTCCACGAATGGTATTGTGCTACCTATGATGGCACAGCTAGCTCCCTCTGCTATTCCTGCTCAATCCTCACTTTCTTGATTGGCATGACACAATTTAGATGTTTGATTAATATTTCTGGGTGTGACTACAGTTTTTGATTGTGCTTTGTTGCTGTTTCCTATGAAGTTTATTCAACAGTTTCAAATTTTCATGTTTGATTTAATTTGTTTCCATGAATTTGTATTCAAAATTTTCTTGTTCTTGAATTATACAAGTTTTAGTATGAATCTTCAGTTTCCGGTGGCAGGCAAGGACATTACTGCATGACTTTCCAGGATACGGGGTTGACTTTATCTGCTGAGGAAGTACATGCCTTGGTTCGCAAGGAGTTCCATACTTATGTTCAGATGGCATTTTCTTCTTCTTTTCAACTGTTTCTGGTCTCTCCTTTTTCAGGAATATTCACCCAATTGCCGGCCACCATGTCTTTCAATAAGGGGAAACTTGTTCTTCTCCTCAATTTCTTCCTCTAGTTTCAAGTTCGCCTAGGAGATTTGTGGTAAGTTTTTCAACAGGTACACTTCACACCAGGTTGATATACCCATGGTAGGCCTGGTTCTGATGCCCTTTGCGTGACTTTGTCCTTCTTTATACATGGGAGAATTACGTAGATATTTATGTATACTTTGTTGTCTGTGTTACTTTAGTTTAATTGAACATTAGATATTTATTAATTTGTAATTTTGGTAAATTTAATTGTTATGCACATTTGTTTATTTTATTAGTTTGTTATTAATAAGTACTTTCCCTAGGTTTGTTTCGATTGTTTGTTACATATTTGAACTACTTCTAACATCTAATTTGTTGTTCTGTTTTGGTGTTTTTTTCTTGTCATTGTTAACTGTGTGCCCTCTCATCCCCATTTTTCGTCAGTATGTGAGTTAATTAAGTGTCCTTTGTCGTCTAGTTTATTTTCATGTATTAGTTATTGCTTATTCAGGTGTTTTCTAGGTAATTTTTGTCAGTTTGCTTGTTCATTATTATTACAATTTTGTGGACTAGGTACATTTAAATGGTTTTTTGTTTCCTAGTTATAAGTACTTTATTAACTTGGTATGTTTCGATAGTTTTTACCTTACTTATCATTACTACTAGTAACATATAATTCATTGTTCTATTTGTATTTTTTTAAATAATTGTTAACTATGTGCATTTTCATCCCCATTTATGTCAGTGTCGGACTACCTTACATGTCCTTTGTCGCCTTGGTTACTTTCAAGGAATGGTATGTGAGATATTGATTATTCATATGTTTCTTGGTAATTTTCATATGTTTATACGTTAATTTTTATTACATAATTTGTGGTACAATTAGATAGTGTGTCCATTTCATAAAAAAAAAGTACTTTGTTAATTGGGTATGTTTGGTTAATTTGTACCTTCCATATCATTACTACTAATAACAAATAATTCTTTGTTCTCTTTAAATAATTATTTCATCATTGTTAAGTATGTATCTTCTCCTAAGTTTAGTCAGTCTAGGTTACTTTCTCTGTCTGGTACCTTAGATATTGCTTATTATTGTGCTTTCTCGATAATTTCTGTCAGTTGACATGTTTGTTAATTTTACATTATTTGTGGACTAAAAGAATTTTGATACTTTGCCCAATTGATATTTGTCAGTCCTTTGTTTACTGGGTATATTTTAATAGTTAGTACATTACATATCAATACTATTTGTAACATCTATTCATTGTTCTATCTTAATTTTTTTCATGAGAGTTTTATTGTGCCATCCCTTCCTAATTTTTGTCAGTGTGGGACTTAAAATTTTGCCTTATTATTTTACTGACATGTTTATTTCTTTCTCATTCGTAGGGCTGAACTTAGCTTTAGCTCCTTTTCGTATGTTCGTGATCCTAGACAGCGCTTATGTATTTTATCAGCAAATTCAAATTTTTGCCAAACTTTTTCACTCCATGAGTCTTGCATTCTTTTTTTCTCTAGTTTGAGTGGCTTCTGCTTGCTTCCTCCCACTCTCAGTCCAGACTCTACACTTCTCTGCTTCTACAAGATGCAGAATGGGTTGATTTCCTTATAACAAGGGAGAAGTCCATTCTGACCCCTTCTCAATACCCAATTCATTTGGGGGATTTTTCTTTCAACCTCAGTCGGGCACAGCCTTCTCCTCTTTGTCTTCGGGTTTGAAGCAAGCAGCTCACACATCCTTTACCTTTCTTATTATCTTGATATCTTCTATCTCTTTGGGGATGTGGACTTCCTTGGAAGCTCTCATTTCCATGATTTGAACTCATATGCATTCCCTTCTGTGAACACTCCTTGATCAATGGAATTTATTCTCAGATCCCTGGCTTGGGGTTGAACAGAGTCTAGACCATGGTGGGGGTGCTGTGTACTCTGCATCATCCAGAGTTACGTCTTTTCCCATGCTCCTCTTTAGGGGGCTGAGGTTCTTACCTCAATTCCAAAGAGATTTCTGGTCTCTGGTCAATCAAGGAGTCTTTCTCCATATCACCTTTCTCAAACCTTTGGTGGTTTGTCAAACTTTGTCCTACAGGTGGTGGTGGTTATGGTACATTTCCACCTCTCCACTGTGGTCACTTATATCACTGAGCCAAGAGATACCAATTCCTGGTCTCTGTGCTTTCAGATCCTGGGTCTCTTTTCAGTGTCCACTGTCATCACATTGTGGTCTTCAACTGCCTTTCTCCTGACTTCTTCCATCTGATGGTGGTTCGATTATCTTCCAACAAGTTTCTGATCACAAAGTGGTCCCTCGTTCCACAGATGTTGCCACTCTCTGTCTTCACACATGGTTTTGCCTTGTCCATTGTCTCAACCCTGGATCTGACTCTATGTTTTGTATCCTTCCTTCTCGATCCATGAGACCTTCTGCCATGTCTGTTTCCCATTGATGCTAGTATAACTCCGACTTTTGTCTCTTCACCATCATTTCTGTACTTCCCACTCTTCCTTCCCTATTCTTCACCTGGTAGGTGTTAAAGGCTTGTCCACTTCATCCATGTCCAGCACTCGAGCAGCCTTTTCTACCTCCTTCCGTTTCTTCTGAGTTTTGTCTTTCTCTGTCCTTTCCCTCCTTTCCTTTACCTGTTGGGACCTTAGTATGGTCCTTTATGCTCTTTCCTATCCTACATTTCAGCCTTTGTCTTAATGTTGCATCTACCTTCCCTCCTTTACAACCTAATTCCTTCTTCTCCTTTCTGGTGATTTTTGTCATTCTGACTTTTAAAGCATTCATGTTACCCACAACCTGTGTCATCCTCTATCCTGACCTTGGTCCTTCCTCCTTAGGACCTATGCTGCCAGTGACTGTGTTCTGGCTTTCATACCCATTTCCTTACCTTCCATTTCCCATCTGTTCTTCCATTCTGATCCAGCTAGGCTTCCTTGTCCAGTTCTTTCCTTCAGGTGTTATGTTGCGCATTCTGCCTCCTTTCAGGGTTCGCATTCCTGACTCCTTATTCCCTGTAACCCTTCAATTTCCAGCGTTCTGTAACCTGTTACTCACACTGGTTGGATTCGTAAATTCATATGGCTGGCTTATTCGGACTTGTCCTTGGAAAGCTACTGTCTCCACAATGTCTCTTCTCATAAGGTTCATCACATTACTATGACTTTTACTGCTCGCCTTCACCGTCCTTTGAAGGAGATCGTTCAGCTGGAAATTGAACTACTCCCAATACCTTTGTCACTTATTATATGTTATATCTGTCTGTGTCTTCCTCTGTTGGATATTGTCTTCCTCCCATGGTGATTCTATACACATTCACTGCTTTTGCCTGGGGTAAACCTTATTGTTTCCTTTTATCTATGTTTTCAGCTTCCCTAATCCCACCTTGTGATGGGTATTGCCTGGCCAGGTATGCTTTGTTTTAAATTTGCATTAATTGAAGTAACTACATAATGCTCACGGTTGAGATGGGGTGTTTCTGTAAGGCCACTGCGTGTTTTCCTGGTGGTGTATATGTATATCTATTTATTAGAAATCATTAAAACTGTGTCTTTGGTGGACTGTCACTCATAGATGTTATGAGTAAGGCAGAAGGTGATTTCTGCCCTTCCTTTGATTCCTTAATTGGGTTCGGTCTGGCTTTCAAAATAGGGAAACGCAGTCACCCATTGCACTGTCTCCTATGTGATGTTCCTCCAGACTCCCCACTGCCTTTTTACCCACCCACCCTTTTATTTCTTCTTCTAGTGGAGCATGGGAGTTCTTACCAATCTCAGTTCCCAATCACTTTGGTGGTGGACCATGGAGGCTTCTTCCTGAGTGTAATTCCATGTTACTATACTTACACTCGTTTATACACTCAGTGAGAAGAGGGCGAAGCTGTTTCCCTACTGGCACTTCCTCCAGATGTTTTCTGCCTGGGCAGACTGCACTCAATAAAGCCAATGATTAAATAATAATCAGGGCCAGCCTACGCGGGATCATCCTCGTAATTCCGGGTTCAGGATGACAACGGAATGTTCCTACGGTTGTGTGCAGCAGACAGCTCTCTTCTTATTAATTCTGGTTGCAGAAGGTTCTTTTCTGCTTCTACAGTTGGTTTTGCGATATTTCGTCTGCCTCAGAATACCAGCAAATGTGCTCTGTTCCTACAGTTGGGCAAATGCTGCTTGTACTCTTCATAATTTTGGATACAGGTTGTCTCTTCCCTGCATTTATGGTTGAGTGAGTTATGATTTTGCCTGTAATACCAGTTATGGCTTTCCCTGTTTCTACGGTTGAGTCGAGGAAATGCCAGGTTCAGTTTGTTGTACTTCTTACTCCCATGGTGGTTTGGGGAGTTTATCCTGTTACAGCTGTTGCTCACTTCCTCTTCAAAATTCTGGTTGTTTGACATACAGCTCTCTGAATACTGATGGTTGGGGTTGTCGGGTGTTGATAACACGGTCCACATGCCCTAACTACTTGTTGTTATTACTTTTTTTTTCTCGTTATATGTTGCTGAAGCTTGCATCTTTTTTACACATTTACAAGCACTACCTTTTCCACCCATTTTATGTTCCTTTCCTCATTTCTGGGCAAAGAGTATACCTGTTCCAAAAGTAATGCAGTATCCCACAGGTGTGCTTCACTTTCATCCCCAAGCACACACGTTCATTCTGGCCAGTCGCTTTCCACTTGGTTTGTTCATTGTGTGCCTACATTGGCCCTTCACCTCTGCAGTGTGAGGATTCTAGTTCCCACTCTTCCTCCTCACTAAAACCAGTGTTTTTATTATAGTATATGTCAATTCTCTAAACTGAGGATTGAGCGGGAATAGCAGAGAGAGCTAACTGTGTCATTATAGGTGGCACAATACTATTGGTGGAGAGTAGTCACATGATATGTACATGTTCAAAAATGGTGTGAAATTGGTTGGATATAAAGACTGGTGTGCTGATGACTAAAAATTCTTTTAGCAATGCTCAAAAGCCAAACAATGATCGAGATAGCTTTTGTGTTAGAGAAGATAAGTACTTATCGGAAATACATTTTCAGTGTAAGAAAATGTTAACTTTCACTAGAAAAGTTGAAGTGTGTTGACTAAGTTGTTCTGATTAGAAATGAGATTTTTGTAAACCAACATCTAGCTTAATTAGAAAGCGAGGTAAATTACGGTGGTTTTATGTGTACCAGTATAGTAATTGAATAATTTTTTGGTTTTCTAAAATGCATGTTTGAAATCTACAAAATTTAATTTGTCTTCCCCCTCCAATTGAAAGAATAAATGAGATTTACAGCGAGATTTAGCAAGTATGATGCATGAGTACAAGTCAGTTTTGTAATATCATAAATACTAGAAATCATTGTTTTATATATATATATATATTTTTTTTTTTAATGTTCTATGTTTTAAGAACAGTAACCAAAAATTAAGCACTTATGAGTAAATGGTAATAATATATATACACACCTATGTAATGTGTGATAACTGAAATTTCACTGTATTTTGCAAAATACTGGTATGCTAGTTAGACACTTGTTTTTTGTAGGCCAATAAAGTTATGTCTACTGAACTTCTGTTTTACTTCTAATTGCCTAAATTGAGGTAAACTAAAAGCAAGTTATACAACATTAGAAACTTGACAACTTAAAAAAAGGTTTATTCATAACATTTCAGAAGGATAAAATGTCTTATAAAAATCAGTGAAATAAAGTAATGTGCATATGTTCGTACATCTCTGAAAGGAACAATGCACATACAAACTGTGTTCTCAGAGCCAGAATTATAATAAACTCTGTTGGAAATATCTGCTTATTGCACTGCACGTGCTTGTTTGCTCTCAAAGATGTATTCTATTTGAGCTGCTAACAGTAAAATAAATGTAGGATATAGATGTGAAAAAGTTAGAAATACTAACTCTCAGGAGAGGTAATTTGGAACTTCATAATCAATACTAAAAAGAATAGAACAGTACTACTCATTTTAGTTTGCCTTTTTCAGCCTTTTTTTTCAATATACTTTGATGATTTGTCAGAATCAAATATACTGTTAGGGTAGAGAAAATAACAGATAAAACATAAAGAAAATTTTAGTGAAAAAAAAAGATTGATATTTATTTAAGAGGTTTTAGAGATTACCCAAATTATATTTGATAATTTTCAGATGAAGTATTTTTAATCTTAACATGAAAAATCGTTTTCTACTCGGGGCAGTCAACACTCTGGCTCCTTATGTTCACAGAGAAATTTTTGTAAAAATGCTTAATTAAAAAATCTGATTTCTTGTGTATTAAAGACTTGTGATGTTTACTGAAAGTTTACCAAAGTCCTTTATGATGCACAATACATATTAAAAGTTATAAAATGGAAACTTTGATGAATACTTTGTGGTTACAAGGCCATTGTAATCATCCGAGCCTGTAGTGAGAGGGTTAATGTATTTAGCACTTGTTCTAATCATAAAAACTATCTTTTAAAGTAAGTGAAGTATGTGTCAAGAAGCAAGTATGTTTTATTCTCTCCTTCTGTAATTCACAAAAGTTGCTCACAATGATCAATACCTGAAATTTTCTTGTTGTTTTCAACAGAAAGTCTCAAGAAGCTCAACGAGAATTAAGGCTACTGCTAGATATGTACAAAAGTGCTCCCAAAGAACAGAGAGATAAAGTCCTGGTGAGTAAAACCCATACTTAAACTGGTGGTAGACATGTACAGAATTACTTCAAAAATAACAGACAGAAAAGCTCTACTGAGTAAAGACCATATGTAAACTGTTACTAGACATACAAAGTTCTCCAAAAGAACAGAAAGACAAAGTCTTGGTCAGTAAACACCATATTTAAACTGTCACTATACACGTACAAAAGTGCTCCTAAAGAACAGAGAGAAGTCCTGGCGAGTAAAGACCAGTTATAAAATACTGCTAGACATGTATGAAACTACTCCCAGAGAAATGAAAGAAAAAGTCCTTGTGAGTAAAGAACATATTTAAACTGTCACTAGACATGTTAAAAAGTGCTCTCCAAGAACAAAGAGAAGTCCTGTTGAGTAATAACCATATGTAAACTGTCATTAGATGTGATAAAGTGCTCCCAAAGAACATAAAGACAAAGTTCTGGTGAGTAAAGACCATATGTAAACTGTTAATAGGCATTTTCAAAAATGTTCAACAATAACAGATTAAATACTATATTCAGACTGGTACTATTCATGTAAAAAAGTGTTCCAAATAACAGAATGAGGAAGTCCAGGTGATTAAATACTATACAAAATACCACAACCTAAAAAAAATGTTTTGTATGCAAAATACAGTTTTATAATCCCTAGTTACAAAATTTAAAATAAACAAATCAGTGGGGAAAATATATAATTACACTTTTTCATCTATTACCTACATTCACACACATTGAAAACTTTACTAGATCAGATTTGGTGACATGAGTATCTGAACCAATAATTATATTAAATTATAATCATCTCTTAAATTCTCTTTCTTTGTCTTACTCTTTTTTGAAAATATTTTTGTGCATGTCTAGCAACAGTTTGAATACCTACCTGAACTTTGTCTCTGTTCTTTCAGAACACATTTATATATGAATAGACACACTTTGAATATACCCAGGTTTTAAAAGTGTCATTAGATTTGGTGTCTCTTACTAGATAAATCAATTGGTTTATTTTTTATCAGATAATTCAGATGTATCATTTGTACTAGAAGTGTGTGGTGGGTATCATGTGCTGTGGAATAAATTTAACCCACTCAGGTTTAACCTTATAGTCACTGAGATGCCCTGCACAGCCATCAGATTCATTTAGAACTCTATATACCTAATCAAATAAATGAATAGTCTAGGCTACTTAACTGTAAGGCACCAGAATTGATCTGGGGCAAGTATTAAAACTCGGTGATATTGCTCTCAGGTTCCTACTCAACAGTCTGACAGTACCAATACTCTATGTACCTATCAACAAATGAACAAATTCATGCACAAAACTTTAACACATAATCACTGCTATTTGAGATGGGGCTCTGAGGGGTGGCAGATCCATTCTCCAAGTAACTTTCCTTTTCCAATGCATAGTACTATCTACACCTTAGGCATATGGTGATGTCGTCCACACCTCCCTACCCCTGATTTCTATTTTGCATAGTTTAATGAAGTTTAAAAAGCTTCCTGTGTACACACACACACTTTATTCTTTTAATTATATAGATAGATTTCCATATTTTCAAGTTTTTATTATTTTTTCAGCTGATGGCTGCAGAGAAAAGAGCCAGAGCAGAAACAGAAGAGTTGAAACAGCAGTTAAAAAAAATGCAAGATAATGAACGTAAGGAACGTCGAAAGCTGGCAGATGAAGATGCTATGAAAAAGATAAAATCATTAGAAGAAATGGTACAACAACTCCAAAAAGCAATTGCAGCCCAGAAACAGGTTAATTTTTATTATTACTTAATAATATAGGTTATTTATAAAGTTTGCTTCAAAGAGTTTGTATTCATCTTGAGCTGAAAATTCAACAGATTTATTTTATAAGGTAATTTGGTTCACAAGAAGAAGAAATTTTTCAGAGTAAAGTAGAGGTGAATAATAGTAAGTTTATTAAATAAGATGTTTAGTTGGTGTACTTATAGGAAGATGAGGCTCTGCTGTGCGAGATGGTGACTGTTAGTAGGTTTATTTCATAAGGTTTTTAGTTGGTGTAGTTCACAAAAAGAACAGGCTCTTCTGATAGAGATGGAGTTATTTAGTACAAAGATTTATTAATTTGACTTATAGGAAGAAGAAGCTCTGCTGAGTGAGATGGAGGTGACAGGTCAAGCGTTTGAAGATATGCAAGAACAGAATCTTCGACTTATACAGCAACTAAGAGAAAAGGACGATGCTAATTTCAAGTTGATGTCTGAGGTGAGAATTTGTGTGATTATAACATTCGTTCTCAAGGGAAGTCATGTCAAATGCAATACAGATATATAATATTTGCTTCCTCCTCTTTACTAGTTTGTACTTGCTTGGGTATCCTTTACTGCACATGGCACAAGGTTTTAGTGTTTTACATTCAAAATTTTTCTGAACTACTTTTAGTTTATGTTATACCAATTAGAATAGCATAAAGTCTTAGCTAATAATCCATATTTTAATAGTATACAAGTTTTAAGTTCTTAATTGTACAAGGCAATATTAAAAAGAAATCCTGAATTTCCACTAGTGTGACCCACGTGATACATTTTCTCTTAGCATGTCATCATCTCTATTTTATCCACCACCTCTCAAAAAGGTACGAAATTAAACGTAAATTACTCTCTATAAAATCTTTATAGCTCAGACAAACCATAAATTTTATAGTCTTCAATTTTTTTAGTTACAGAGTAATCGATTAGAAAATCAGACCCTTCCTGCCACACTCACCTGTCACATC